AGTGGGAGGCGGAGTCGGGGATGGGCCCCAAAACCCTGCTCGGGACTGGGCAGGCCGGAGCCCTGTTCCCCTGCGGGCTGGGGATCCGCGTTTGACACCAGCTCCCTCCACACAGGCCCTCACTGAGCCAACAGCCGGGCCAGCGAAGCAATTCTGCCGGCTCCCCGGTAAGGCACATCCCTGCCTCGCACCCTGCAAGAGGCATCCCCTGCCCTTCAGACCTGCCCTAAGGTCCAGGCTCATTGTCCCCAGGTACAGAAAGCCCTGCGGGCACTCACCGTCCCGCTGGAGACGCTGCAGGTGCTGAAGGGCCACATGATGCAGGACATGCGCAAGGGGCTGAGCCGCCAGATGCATGAGCAGGCCACCATGCAGATGCTGCCCACCTTCATCTGCTCCATGCCCGATGGCACCGGTAAGGCAGCCCGTCCTGGCGATGGGCCGCTTTGCTACCTACAGCCCCATATGCCTCCTGGGACTTGGTCTTGGGGTGCTGGGAAGGGGTGCACTGGTGTCTGGTCCATGCACTGCCCTTGCACTGCCTCTGCCAGTCCCTGGTGCAGGACCAGAGGCCAGGAGCTGGTTCTCTTGTCTCCTGTGATTGTCTCAGGCTCTCAGGAGCCTCCCCCATGGATGGGAGACTGTCCCTGGGACAGGTTAAGGGGCAGATTATAGGGGATCTGCCCCAGCAAAGGTCTCTGCCTGACACCACCTCTGCTCCCCCATAGAGAAGGGTGAGTTGCTGGTGGTGGAGCTGTGCCAGAACTACGTCCGGACCCTCTGTGTAACCCTTTTGGGTGACGGGAACCAGAGACCTCAAGTGATGTACAAGATCTTTGACATACCGATGAACATCACGCAGGGCAAGGGGGAAGCGGTATGAGGAGGCCATGGCACAGGGTGGCTGGTGCTGGGCTGCCCAGCACCATGGTGGCTCGGCAGGGCTCCGGGACTGCCTCCGACAGCGTGGGTGCTGGGTAAGGGGTGCAGCCTGTCACCCCCGGCCATGCCTTTGCAGCTCTTTGGCTTCATTGCAAAATGCTTGCACCAGTTCCTGGCTGGCCTCAGCAGCCTCCAGCGTCGCTTCCCCTTGGGCTTTGTCTTCCCCTTCAGCTGCAAGCAGACGCAGCTGGACAAGGTGGGTGGGATAACCCTGACCTGGGTCTGCGGCCGCCTCATGCCCAGCACCTCAGTGGTGCTGGAGGCCAACAGCTCAGCCATGTGCTCCCCACAGGCAGAACTCATCTCCTGGTCCAAGGGCTTCAAGTGCACTGATGTGGAGGGGAAGGACGTTGTGCAGTTGCTGCAGTCAGCCATCAACAAGGAAGAGGTGGGGGGGCCACGAGGTGAGGGGGCCTGGCTGGGAGCTGCCCCCATGGAGGGGCTAATGATGCTCTCTCTTTGCTCCTGGCCAGCTGTATGTGGACGTTGTTGCTCTGATGAACGATACTGTGGGCACCATGATGACCTCCAGCAAGGATGATAAGGCCTGTGAGGTTGCCATCATTGTAGGTGAGCAGTGGGCATCCCCCATGCCAGGGGGTGGTACTGGGGGAGGGAGTGCACCAGTGCTCACACCCACCACCCCCCACAGACGTGGGCACCAACAGCTGCTTCATGGCTGAGGCACAACTGGTCGAGATGGTGGAGGAGACCAGCGGCAGGATGTGTGTCAACACCGAGTGGGGCTGCTTCGGGGACGATACCACCCTAAGTGGCATCGTGACCACCTATGACCAGCGCGTGGACAAGGAATCCTCCAACCCTGGGAAGAAGAGGTGCTCCCACCCCCCAGTGAGGGCAGGGTCCCCAGGGCTCCTTGTCCACCCCTGGGCAAATCAGGCCCCACTAACAGGAGCACATGGCTCCCTGCGCTGCTCCTACATGCTTTCAAGGGGCCAAGAGGTGCCAGGTGGGGCACAACTGACCCCCATGCTGGCTGCACACAGATTTGAGAAGCTGGTGAGCAGCCTCTATCTGGGGGAGATCGTCCGGCACGTGCTGATCACCCTGGCTGCTGAGAAAGCGATCTTCACGGGGAGCAATACTGGCATCCTGAGGAACAAGAATGTGCTCAAGACCCATCAGGTCCTGGAGATCATCAAGTGAGTGTCTGGGGACCAGGAGCTGCTCTGGCTGGGAGGCGAGGCGGGTGATGGGGAGGACATAGCCAGCACGGTGTCCTCCCTTGCAGCCACGAGGGCGGCATGGCCAAGACAAGGAGCACGCTGGAGACTCTGGGACTGCAGCCGAACGAGCGGGATTGCTGCCGGGTGCAGCAGGTCTGCCGAGTGGTGGTGAGCCGCTCTGCCGCGCTCTGTGCCGCGGGGCTGGCTGCCATCCTCACACACATGTGCCAGAGCCGGGAGCTGGAGCAGCTCTCCGTCAACATTGGGGTGGATGGCGAGTTGTACCGAGACCACACCAGGTGAGGAGGGTCACGGGGCTCCCACCCCGGTGGGGTGCTTCACACCCAGCCTTTGCCATGCTCTTCTTCCTCTGGCAGGTTTGGGGAGATCCTGCAGAGCGTGACAGGGCTGCTGGCCCCGGAGTGCACGATCACCCTCCTGCCCTCAGTGGATGGGACCGGGCGCGGGGCAGCCATCGTGACAGCAGTGGCTCTGCGCCTGGCGGAGCAGCGCCGGGAGGTGGATCGGCTGCTGTCCCCACTGCGGCTCAGCCACTCTGACCTGCAGCGCGTCCAGGCGCTCATGAGGCAGGAGATGGACCTGGGGCTGGGCAAGGAGACCAATGCCAGATCCTCCGTCCGCATGCTGCCCACCTATGTCCGTGCCACGCCTGATGGCACCGGTGAGGGCTGGGGGCCTGGGGAAGGGGGTGCAAGGTGGCTGTGGCCCTGCTGATGCCCCGTGCTGGTGCCCTGCAGAGCGAGGTGAATTCCTGGCGCTGGACCTGGGGGGAACCAACTTCCGGGTGCTGGTGGTGCGCGTGGCGGAGGACAGCATCCGCATGGCCAGCGAGATCTATGTCATCCCAACCTCCATCGTACAGGGCACTGGTGTGGCGGTGAGGCTGAGAATCTGTGCCGAAGGAGAGGGCGAGGGGATGGGAATTGCCTCCCCCCTCACTGCCCATGGGCCTGGGGTGGGGCTGGGAGAGCCCCTGCGGCATCACCCCAGCCTGGGCCCTGCTGACCATGTTTCCTCTCCACAGCTCTTCAACCACATCATTGAGTGCATCATGGACTTCCAGCTGAAGCAGGACCTGACAGAGCAGATCCTGCCACTTGGCTTCACCTTCTCCTTCCCCTGCCAGCAGCTGGGCTTGGATAAGGTGAGGGGATGGCTCCAGACCCTGAGGATTGGGAGGGCTGCAGGGTGCAAGGCAGCTGCCCAGCCTCTGCTCCTACCTCCCTTGCAGGCAGTGCTGCTGAACTGGACCAAAGGCTTCAATGCCTCAGGCTGTGTGGGACAGGATGTGGTCCAGCTGCTGCGGGATGCTGCCCAGCGCAAAGAGGTAAGGAAGGGCTTGGGTACAGTTGTCTGTTCCCAGGGTGTCACCCTGCACCCAGGCAGTGCCACTAAGCCACATACATCCCCATCTCTGGTTTGGCAGAACTTTGCTCTGAATGTGGTAGCTGTGGTCAACGACACAGTGGGAACCATGATGTCCTGCGGCTATGATGACCCTAAATGTGAAATCGGCCTCATTGTAGGTGAGGAGCACTGCTGCACTCAGGGGTCTCCCATCCCCTCATCACCACCCCAGCCCGTGTGGCATGGCCGCAGAGTGCCAAGCAGCTCTGCAGAGCTGTGGTGGGGGTGACACCAGCACTGGGCCCGCAGGGACAGGGACCAATGCCTGCTACATGGAGGAAATGCGGAACGTGGGCACTGTGGAGGGGAATGATGGCCGCATGTGCATCAACATGGAGTGGGGGGCCTTCGGGGACAATGGCTGCCTGGACCACATCTTCACCACATTCGACCGGATGGTGGACGAGAAAACCATCAACCCGGGCAAGCAGAGGTGGGTGAAGGCCCCGGGGCACACCCAGGGGTTGCTGTGCTCAGCTAAGGCTGTGTCTGGGGTAGGTTCGAGAAGCTCATCAGCGGCATGTACCTGGGGGAGATTGTGCGCTACATCCTGCTGGCAATGGTGGAGAAACGGGTCCTGTTCCATGGGAAGCCCTGCCCCAAGCTCCAGACCAAGGACATCTTCCAGACCAAGTTCCTCTCCACCATCGAGATGTGAGTGCTGGGCTCCAGCAAGTTCCCTGAGCCCGGGGTGGGAGGGTGTAAAGCCAGAGCCCAGGGAGAGTGGCCACACTGCACTGATGTGGCACATGCAGGTGATGCCATCTCCTGCCTGTGGGATGGGGACAGTGATGGGGACAGTGGTGCTAACGGTGCCACTGGTCCGGGGCAGCGATGGGCTGGCCCTGCGAAAGGTACTGGCCATACTGCGGGACCTGGATCTGCACGCCAGCTTTGAGGACAGTGTACTGGTGCGGGAGGTGTGCCAGACCGTGTCCCTGCGGGCGGCCCAGCTCTGTGCTGCCGGCATGGCCGCTGTGGTGGAGAAGATGCGGGAGAACCGGGGCCTGGACCAGCTGGTTGTCACCGTTGGGGTGGACGGAACCTTGTACAAGATGCACCCGCAGTGAGTGGGGACGGGGGTGACGGGCACCCACCGGGGACCCTTGCCTTATGGCAGAGGTGTGGGGGAACACGGGGCGCATGGAGGGGGGGACACCAGCCTTCACCATTCCCTCCTGTGCCTCCAGCTTCTCTCAGAACCTCCAGCAGACGCTGCAGGTCCTGGCACCCAAGTGCACCGTCACCTTCCTGCAGTCGGAGGATGGCTCGGGGAAAGGGGCTGCGCTCGTGGCAGCCGTGGCCTGCCGCAAAGCCGGGCCCTAGGCACAGGCACCATTGCCACTGCCATCACCCCAATAAAGTGCTTTTCTTCACACCTCTGCCTCCTGGGGGTTCACGGGGAGGGCCTGGGGGCAGAGCACGGCCAGGCAGAGCCCCACGTAGCAATATATATCGAATTTATTTACATTCAGGTCCGGCAGCCCCCCCGCCTGCGGCACCGCTATGTACATAAGGCCAAGTGTAAATACTTGAATGCACTTAATACAGAATTAAAAAAACGGTCTTTACACAACACGGCACGGGGCCCCACACGCAGACAGCACGATGGCACCGCACGCTCGACGCACACCCAGTGCCCCCCTGTCCCCCACCATGGGGCTGTGTGATGCCCAGGGTGGCAGCACTGGGGGGTCCTGACTGCCGTGGGACACAGGCATCCCTGTCTCACAAGGGGATCGGGCAGCCCTTGCCGTGGGCTGTGGGGCAGCGGGAGCCTGGGGGCCGGCCGGGGCCCCCGCTGCCCCATGGTGGTGGTCCCCCAGGAAAGGGGTTGTGCCTCCATCCCCGCCATGCTCAGCACTCGGCCTCGGAGACGGCGAAGAGGGCATTGTCCTGCTTGCCTACCTCGGCCACGGCGGCAGCCAGCTGAGAGAGGTTGCCATTGGGGAAGTGCCGCGCTTCCCAGAGGTTGAGGATCATGGCTGTGGGGCTGGGCTTTGAGGCGAAGAAGCTGAGATGGCTGGAAGGGGGTGAAGAGAGGGACCACATCAGGGCAGAGGGGTGGCTCCGCTTACCAGGACCAGCCCCATGCTGGCCTCACCTCGGGCACCATCCCACTCCCAAGGTCCTGCAGCATTCCAGCATCCATAGCTGCAGGATGAGCCCAGAAATCCCCCATCCCCATCCACCATGACACCTCATCCCCAGCCCTGTCCCCGTCCCAAACCAACCTGTCGAGGTTGAGCTTCTGGGCCAGCATCCTCCAATCGGCTCCCCGGGTGCCCGGCGGGTCCAGGCTGCTGATGATCTTCTGGCGGATGAGGAAGGGGATCTTGAAGGCACTGGGGCCCACGAGGGCCGGGGCGCCCACCTCGCTGTCAGGGACCAGCCAGTCCGAAAACCTCGTGTCCTAGGGCAGAGCAGCAGGGGGGTGATGTGAGCCCATCCTGGGGTCACCCCCAGGAGCCCCCCAGCCCTGCCCTCACCTTGGCGATGTTGAAGTTGACGGTGAAGCTCTGCCCATCACCCTCCACCTGCCAGACCCAGATCTTGCAGGCCAGCTCACAGGTGCTGGGGCTCAGGCGCTCCAAGGTGAAGGTGCAGTGCAGGAAGGGCTGCAGCCCGCTCCAGATGTGGTAGAAAGGGATCTCCTGTGGTGGGATGATGGTGGGAAGGAGTCAGAGTGGCAGAGACACTGTCCCCATCCCCAGCTGCCAGCCAGGCTCCCCACCTGGTAACTGGCGAGCAACTTGCTCTTCCAGAGGGAGCTGGGCATGTCGTGGATGGAGAGGCGCAGGTTGTGGTAGCTGTCCTTAAAGTGCAGCACCCGGGGGGCTCCGATCAGCTGCCCCCCCAGCTGCTTCTCCAGCTGGATCACCTCCTGCCGGCACAGCAGCGGTCAGGCGGCAGATGCTGCACCCTGGGAGCACATCCCTCGCTCTGAGCCAGGATACGGGAGGGTTACATGGGGACCCCCCGGTACCTTGAGGGTGTCCTGGGTGTCGCTGAGGCAGTAGACGCGGATGTTGTACTCGAGCGAGGGGCAGGCGGCCGGCGCAAACAGGACCAGCTTGAGGCGCTTGGAGGCCGCCATGCTGAGGGACTCCCCAACCAGGGCAAAGCGCCCCAACTGCTCCGTGAAGATGTAGCAGGCCTGCGCTTCCAGCTGGCAGTAGTACAGCTCCGTGCACGGCTCGGCGCCCAGCTGCAGCACGTCCTGCGGCACCCAGAGACACGCACCACAGCCATGGGCATCCCCCCTCCAGCGCCCACCCTGGAACGCAACGCCCCGTGCCCGGCAGACGCTCACCTCCCACGTGCCCTCACACGACTGCTTCTTCAGCCGGATGCTCCAGTTCTCGGCGCTGGCCTCCACGCAGTGACCCATGGCCAGGATGGCAGGGCGCGTGAGGAGCACCCCAGGAGGGCCGCAGCTGACGATGGGGCTCAGCAGTGTCTGGCAGCCGGCGAGGGGCAGCCTGTACCGTAGGGGCAGGTGAAGCAGGAATATCCCAGCCCAGCAGCCCCGGGCCCTGGCAGCCCCAGCACCTACCTCACCTCCTCCTGCTTGTGCAGGGTCAGGTAGACCTCGTAGATCTTCCCCCGTGGGATGGCATCGGGTGGGATGAGCAGGCTGATCCCTGGTGGTGAGTGCAAGCGGGGATGAGCCCATGGGGACCCGCCTGTGCCGGGTGATGCTCTGGCACCCTGCTCCCCCCCCAACCCCGTACCTGTGTTGGGGATCATGAGCCGCCCCCCCAGGAAGTTGAAGGTGCCGTAGGCCATGTTGTTGGTGCCGCGGGGCAGGGAGCGGAAGTAGCTCTGTGTGGAGAGCCGGGCCACGAAGTCGGCGCCTTCGGCAGCGGGCGAGCTGTGGTGCAGCGTGTGCCGCCCGGCGCCCAGCGGGCTCAGCAGGTGCCCGTTGGGCAGCTGGAGCTTGGCCGGGCCATCCTGGCGTGGGCACAGCGAGCCCTGGTAGGTCATGGTGGTGGTGCTGAGGTCAGGCTGGATGGTGAGCAGGCTGGGGTTGTCTGCGGCACAAAGCGAGGGACCGTGGCACAGGGTGTGGGAGGGGACAGGTTGAGGACCCAGATCCTGAGGGACACCGTGTCCTGGCATGGGCGCACAGCCCCGTCCCTGGAGCCCTCACTCACCGGCCTTGCTGGGCTTGATGCTGACGGGCTGGAAGCCAGCAGTGAGGATGGAGGAGTCGGCCACATCAGCGTCCAGGCCCCCCTTCTTGCGGCAGTACACCAGCACCCCCACCAGCAGCAGCAGCACCAGGCACACGGCCACTGCCACCAGCCCCACGTACAGCGCCACGTCCTCCGCACCAGAGGCAGCTGTGGTGGGGTAGGGCATCAGCACCCACCAGCACCCCCATCGCCTATCCCAGGGGACAGCCCCGCTGCCCCTGCGGCACTCACCATGGCTGCAGAGCTCGGAGGTGCAGTTGCGGGTGTCCAGCTCTGGGCCGTGGCAATCCTGGCCCCCGTTGCGCGGCGCTGGCTCCGAGCACTCCCGGCTACGCCAGTGGGTGCACTCGGCCCCGCACACCGACCACTTGCTCCACTCTGACCAGGCACCATCCACTGCGGGCACAGCCGGGGTCAGCGCCCCACCGCCATCCCCTCCCCTGCCCCGGGGCCGCAGACACGGACACACAGGGGGTGTGAGGACGAGACAGCCGGGATGGGAGGACAGGGACTGGGCTGGGTGCAGCGGGGAGTGCAGCATCGGCATGGGGGGGTGGCATTGGCGATGCCCGGGCAGGCGGGTACCTGGACAGAGGGTGGTGCAGGCGGTTTTCTGCACGTTTTGGCCCTCACAGAAAGCCCCCCCGTTGAGGGGCGTGGGATTGGTGCACGTCCGGCTCCGCTTCTGCCAGCCCCGTCCACAGCTGGTGCTGCAGCCCGACCACTGTGTCCACGTTGACCAGCCGCCGTTCACTGGGTGGAGAGGGACCCGTCAGCGCCCCGCGGCATGGGGGATATGGGGAGGGACAGGACGGGGAGGGTGACACTGGGGCAGCATGGTGGGGACAGGCGCGGTAGGGCCTTACCATAGACAGTGATGGCAGCGGATGCACTGCGGCGACGGGCCACGATGTTTTTGGCCACGCAGGTGTAGTTGGCGGTGTCGGCCAGGCGGGCCTGCCGCAGCACCAGGCTGTGCTCTGGCGTCACATAGACATTGGCGTCCAGCGCCGGATCCACAAGCTCCTCGTTGCGCAGCCACTCCACCTGTGGGGCATGGGGACATCACTGGGTCACCCCCTCGGTGTCCCCGTGGGGAAGGGGCACCCTCAGCCACATCCTGCCCTCCTAGAGTGCAGGGGCTCACCTCGGCCGGGGGGATGCCCTCGGGAGGGCGGCACGGCAGCACAATGCCCTGCTCGATGGAGACCTCCCTGGCAGTCGGCTCCTGCTCAAAGTTCTTGCGCAGATCTGGGGAGGCACAGGGGTGAAGAGGGGGAACTGAGGCCAGCGCCCCACACCTCATCCAGGCACCCACAGACACTCACAGGCGATGCGCACGAAGGCCTTCTGGCTCTTGGTGGTGCCGGAGGAGCTCCAGGCCACGCACTGGCACCAGTACTCCTCCAGCCCAAAGATCTTCTCCACTTGCTGGCGGGTGACCTCGATGCGCACCTCCATCACCGGCAGCCCTGCCACCAGTGGGCAGCATGTCAGCACCAACACACCGGGAGGGATGCCCATCAGCCCAGCTCCATGTGACCCCCCACATGTCCCCATGACCACGGCTGCTTTCCCTTGTGCTGGTGCTCACCGGTGCCGCGGTCAGTGCTGTGCTGCATGATGTGGTCACCCTGGTGCACCCACTCCCCGTTGCACTTGAAGTAGATCTGGGTGGCAGGGGTGGCGCGGCAGGCCAAGCTCACTGCCTTGTTCTTCACGATGTAGACGTCCTCCGGCTCCAGCTGGAAGTGCGGCAGCAGGTCCGGGGACGCACCAGACACCGGGTTGGCCACGGTCGCGCTTTGCTGAGCACCTGCAGGGAGATGGGGGCTCGGACACCTCCACTGTGCCCAGGCTGGGTGATCACCCATACCGGTGTGTCCCTGTGCCCGTGTCTCTGTGCATCACCACCGGCCCCCCCTTTGCTGCCATGCGGCAGCCCCCTCCTGTCCCTGCCATCCATCAGGGAGAGCAGCAGCACAGTGGCTGTGCCCGCTGAACCCGCACCGATCCCTCATGTCCACACTTAACGCTAATGAAAAGGAAATGTAGTGTGACCAACAAGGGCCATCACTCACGCCTCCCAGGGCGCCCACTGCCACCGCTCCCCGGCACACTGCAAGGTGCAGGCCAGGGGCTGCATCCTGCCCCAGGTGCCCTGGAGCGGCACAGGGATGCAGAGTGAACGGAGGGGTGCACGGCACATGCTCTGGGGACATTGGCACCCACCTGGGAGCAGGCACAGGAATGGCACATGGGGGCTGGCTGTTCCCTGTGTTTCTGGGCTGCACACACATCCTTTGGGGCGTCAGGCATCCCCCAGCTTTGCTTGGGGGCTGTGGGTGCCATGCAGCAGGGGCCATAAGCGCTGCATGTGGCACAGACCCACAGTGCCCATGTCTCCAGCCCATTCATGGCCGGGTGTCCCCGCTCCCTCACCCCACTGGCTCCTGCTGCAGAGGGAGTTAATAAACCAGGGCCCTAAATAAGCATTTGATTAACAAACGATAAAATAGCGATTGTGTCACTGAATGAAGCTGTAATTGCTGCTGCTAATTGGCTGGTTAGGATTTAATAAGCAATTAAATGGGATGAAATGCGCAGTAATTAAGTGCCTTCGTTTGGCAACCACTCGCCCACGGGACCCCCACTGCCCATGGTGCCCACCCAGGCTGGCTCTCGCTTGCACAACAGGCTTGGGGACACAGGGGACATGGGGGACACAGAGCTCCCTGGGCCCTGGCTGAGCACCCCAGTGGAGGACCTTGCTCACAGCAGCCAGATCAGGAGCCTGTGAGCCAGGGAGCAGGTGCCGAGCGAGCCACCGCGGTGCCCGCCGGGACGGGCAAGGTGCGGCAGCTAATTTACACGGGGAAGATAAACGGCAACCATAATGCGCCGGTTATTACCCCATCAGCACTTTTACAATGTCGCTGGCAATTAATTTAATTAAAACCCCTGTCGGGGATACAGAGGCATTTCATATTTCACTGGTTTAACGACCCCCTCAGACACAGCCCGGGGCCGGCCCAGGGGTCACGGCGCGGACAGGCGCTGCAGTCCCCAGCGCGGTGCAGGGCCCGATGCCGGCTGCGGCACGGCTCAGCACACCACCCGCGGCTCTCACTGCTGCGCCTCCCACTCAGGCATCCCTGGGTGTCCACGCTAGTCTGTGGGTCTCCACGCTGCGCCAGTCAGGGGCTGAGATGGGAAAAGACAATCCAATTTATCCATTAAGTACCAGGTTCACCACTGCACAGCGCCGCTGCTGCCTCCCACTCGGGCATGCTGGGTGAACGTGAACGGGGGAGCAGTGCTAGGGACTGGCCTTGTAATCACACATGAAATGAGTACAGCAATCGCTGAGCTGTGTGTCTATCACCATGGAAGCGTGGGGGCCAGCAGCGATGGGTGGAGGAGGCAGGATGTTAATTGAGTCCCCCAGCACCCACTCAACCAGGTACTGGGTAAAGTGGGACCACAGGCAGCAAATGAAGCTGGGACATGCGGTGAGCATCAGAGCAGGGGGCCTGCCAGGTACCCCCACAGATGCCATGCTGCTGCTGGGCACTGTGTGGGACACTGTGGGGCTCCACATTGTGGTGTGGTCATGGCACGGCTGGGAGGCTGGAGCTGGTCTGGAGCCCCTGTGACGGAGTGGGAGGGCTGTGGTCTGAGTGCTCCATGCACTACAGGCACCCCATCCATGATGGGTACCCCATCCATGACAGAGTCTCCATCCATGATGGGCAGCCCATGCACTGTGGGCACTGCATGCACAATGGCCACCCCATGCACCCTGTAGCCACCCCATGCAGCACAGCTATGCCAACCACCCATGCTGTGGGCCCCCCAAACCCCATAAGTGCCTCTATCTCTGCAGGCCATGCTACGCACCATGGACACCCCATGGCTTGTGGTCCCCCCACACACCATGGCCACCACATGCAGTGTGGGCACCCCCCATGCTGCAGACGCCCCACGCAGCGTGGGCACCCGGAAACGTGGGCAGTGGCCCCCCACGTGTGCAGGCTCCCGCATCGGCCTCGCGCTCACCTGCTGCTGCGTTGCCATGGAAACAGGCAAGATGCTTATGTCACCTTGGCAAAGGGAACCGGGAACTTCGGCGGGGATAGGGGACGGGGACTGGGGGGGTGGCGGAGAGCTGGGTTCCACTCAGCCCCAGGACCCCGTGCCGTGGCAGGGGCACAGGCTGGCCGGGGGTTCTTGCAGCAGCTGAAGGGCTAATAGGGAGTGCGGTTTGCTCCAGCGCCGATAAATCACGGCTGGTAAAGCCAGTGCATTAAGCAGGGCTTTATCATCAATTATTGCTTGCCCACGTGGGCTAACGAGGGCACTGGCAGCCCTGCCGAAGGAGCAGGGTGCTCGGGCTGGGAGCAGGGCTGCAGCACCCACCTCGGGATGCAGAGGGGTTGGGGACACCCTGTGATGGGCTCCAAGTACTCCCCTTCACCCCAGCACTGCCGGACCCCCAGCAGCTCCCGGTCTCCCTCCCCATGCACAGAACACCCCTGCTCTCTGTGCCCCACAGCTGCTGCCATCCCAAGTGGCCACCAGCCCCTCACTGCAGCACCTAGGTCCCCCAGCATTAGAAACAGCAGGTGTACTGGTGTTACTGGGCAGGGAGAGACTGCAGGACACTGCACTGCCTAGCACTGGGGCACTGCCAGGACCCACTGGGCAGCAGCCTGGTCCTTCTCAAAGGGCTGATCCTGCCCTGGTGCAGGTAGCACATTCCCGGCAGGGCTGAGAGCAGCACTCTGGCACCTCGGTGCCTGCCGCGGGGAGACACCGGGAAGGTCAGCGTGTTCTTGGCGAGTAGAGGCTGCCCGCAGGCGGCTGCGGCAGTGCCAGTGCCAGCACCGGCACACCAGTGTGTGCCCGCTCAGGAGGGAGCAGGCAGCTGCTGTGCCATGGCTCGGCTCTGCCCGAATGCTGCTGCCCAGCTGAACCCAGCACGTCGTCCATCCCCAGCCTCCCCCTGCCTGATGCTGGCCACCTCGGGAGTCCCTACAGTGGGGTTGGGACCTCGATGCCAGCACGTGCCTCTGCTGCCGTGCCCCCCTCCTGCGGATCCCCCCTAATCCCTGTGGGATTTGCAGCCGGTAGGTTCAATCCCAGCTGGCGGCTCATCCATCGCACCCGCGCTAGACCCGGCACACCATAAACATGAAAGATTTCCTTGCACCTCCCAGTGCCCGGCCTGTGCTCCGGCAGCAGGTAATTAAAGCAGTAATTGCTGCTGATTGCCATGGCCTAAACGAGGGCAGGGTGTGTGTCACAGGGAGGGCAGAGAATGCCCGGCTGTGCCCAGGGGAACTGGGGGTGCCAGCCCTGCCTGCCGAGGAGTCCCTGCTGCCGCAGAGCATAGAGAAAAGGAGCTGGCACAACACACTGCAATCATAAAGCTTGTCTGAGGCTTTGAGCCGGCCACCATCCTGCCAGGAGAGGCTGGCTCTGAGCCACAACGAACCGGTGCTGCCCCCGGGAGACCCCCAAACAGGGGACACAGCATTGCCTTGCACTGCTCAGCTGCCTGTGGCTGCTTCAACATTCACCTGGGGTATCTGAGCATAGGCAAACACTCCCACTGCACCCACGTTCCCACCCCATGCAGCCCCCCGGTGACGCCAGGCGGGTGCCAGTGCCAGGCCCAGCTGGGCAGGGAGCCAGCAGGGTCGGATGCCAGCGCCGGGCAGCAGGGCCTGGCTCCCGGCCAGTCTGGCGCGTGGTGAGCACTGGGGACTATGTGATGATGGGCACAGCGTGCCAATGCGTCCCCCATGTCCAACAGCCACAGTGCCCCCGCCTGTCCCAGGGCCATGCCCCCAATTTCCCAGTGTGTCCCCTCAAGCCGGATGCTGTCCTGGTCCCTATGTGTGTGCCTCACACGTGCCAGACCCATGGCCATGGCAGAGGCTGGATGGGGCGGTGGGGCTGGTGGGTGCTGGTCTCCCAGCAAGCGCATGGCAGCGTCTGGGCGCTGATTAAGCGAGTGCTCATTATGAATGAATTAGTCGGGCGGGCTTGCATGACAATGGAGCTGCCTAATTACGGATCTGAGCTGATGCCGCTCTCCCCATTGCACTCAATTAGTATGTGCTGGGGCAGGCAGGGTTCCCTGTGCCCTCATCCCTCCTCAGTGCCCCAGCCATGCTCATGCTACCCTGTGCCCAGGGTCTGGGGACAATGGTGCCAGTAAAGGCAGCTGGGGGTGGCAGCCCCTCCATAGGGACCAGCTCTGCCTGCCTGGGGGGTACTGGCCCCGGCACCCAGTTCTGGGCACCCTTTTCCAGGCACCCATGGAATAGAACCCCTCTCAGCACTATAGAACACACAGAGCCCTGTTCCGCAGCAGTCCTGGGTGCCTGCTGAGCCCCACAGCCCCCCAGAGCCAGCATGCACACAGGACCTGTGCCAGCCATGCCAGCCCATCAGCAGCACTGCACGGGGAGAGGGTCCTGTCCTGGCTCCAGATCAGTGGGGTATGAGGGGCGCCCCAGCCCAGCATAGCAGTGGGATGGCCGGGGGGGGGGGGGATGGATGGATGGATAGGATTGGCCCAGACCTGCATGCTGGGGTACTGAGCCAGGGGAGCTGAGTGGTTTCCTGTCTCTCCTTTAACTGACAGCGAAGAGCAAATGCTCCCGCCGAGCCCTGGCCCCGATGGGAGGAGTGTCAAGGTGACCCTCAGCCCCGTATCCCTGCTGGAGCAGGGATGGGAGATGGTTGGGGTGCTGGGAAGGCCCCTCCAGCCACACAACAGTCCTGGGTGCTGAAGTCCAGCCCTGAAGCCTCTTCCCCTCCTACCCATGGGTGCACGCAGTGGTGACAGCAGCCTCATGAAGGGCTGGCTGGAGGGGGACCCGAGACTCCCACCCTGTGAGCAGGAGCCCCAGGCAGGGCAGGGTTTGTGGGGGCCAGGGTAAGCTGTGATCTGCCTGACACCCATCTGGGAGCAGCACCCATAGAGCAGGCAGGCGGCAGGGCCAAGGGCTACTTAACAACTGGTTGAAGATGGGGTCCCAGTGTGGCCAGCCTGCAGCCAACCCACCTCAGCCTGCCCATAGGCAGACACACAGTACACGGAGCAGTGATGGTGCTGACATCAAGGGTGCAGGAAATGCACAGCGCACCGTCCCTGTGCCATCATCCCTCAGACACTGGCACCATTCCCAGTGTAGCCCTGGGCACTGCTGTCCACTCAGGTGAGACAAGCATCAGCTTTACCCATGGCTGTGAGGTTCCGCAGTGGCTCTGGGGGTGCCCAGCCCCTGCCAGCACCACCGGAGCTCAATCACCTCTTGCTGGCACCTGCCAGGCCCCCCACAGTTTGCTGTAGTGCCAGCCCCGTGTGGCACTGGGCCAGAACAAACAGCCCTGGGCAGGCTGCGTCTGCCGCGTGCTCGTGCTGACAGCCGGCACAGCGGCTTCCCAGCCACGCAGCAAGTGCCAGTGCTGCCCGTCACCCTCTGCCCTCCTGCTCGCCTGCACAGGCTCCACTGTCCAGTCAGGCACAGGATGTGGGGTGCTGATGTGATGCAGTGACCTGGGTGCCAGGCTGTGGGGCACCAGGTTGTGGGTACAGTGGCTGGGGGCTGCCTGCTGGAGCCTGAGGGTCCCCAGCAGTGCAGTGAAGCTGGTGGCAGAGAAGTGAGAGCAGAACACATGGCCCCGGCCAGAAGAGCTGCAGCAGGAGCTAGTGTGGGGGCAAGGGGCAAGCCTGGAGGCAGGAGATGCTCTAGGGCCTTCTCCTTGGCATCTGGCAGCACTGGGCCAGGGGTAGCTCTGGGGCAGAACCCTGCCCCTCCACCTGTGCCCACCCTCCAGAGCAGCAGTCGAGAGGGACAGCCACTGAGTCTCGGGTGCTCAACCCGCTCTGCTGCCCATGGGTGAGCCTCAGCTCTCACTGCCGTTCCCCTGCGGGCACCCGCAGCAGAGCAGGCAGCCCACAGAGGGGATGCTGCTCCACAGCTGCAGGCAGGGGCCCTGCGCCTGGACAGCCAGGTTCCCCTGTGTCCAACGTGTGTGTCAGTGCCCCCAGAAGCAGGGGTCCCTGCCATGCCGTGCCGTGCCGTGCCATACCAGGCTGCAGCAGCACCCGGTGCGCAGAGGCCCAAGCCGAGCAGTGGCCGCGCCGGTGGCTGGGCTCAGTCTCGCCGCGGCCGGCTGTGAGCTGCCTGCCAAGCGATGGGAACCAGCTCCCGCACAGCACTGCCCCGAACCGCGCTGGCACCGCCGGCCCCCCCCACACCTCCCGCCGCAGAGCCGGTGTGGGATGATGTGGTGCACCCCACCTCCTCACTGCCCCCCAGCTCCATCCATCCCCACGGCCCCGCGAGTGCCATGGAGACAGCAGCGCTCCATGCTGGGGGTCGGTACCCGCAGCACCCTCCATGTCGGGGGGTGCCCACTCACCGCGCCGGCTCTGCAGTGTCCCCCTGCAGACGGGGCCATGCTGGGAGCTCTGGGCGAGGGGTCCCCAGGGGTGCCCGGACGGGAAAAACGGGTGCGGGGAGCATGGGGGATGCAGCCGCGCTGGGTGCCCGCCCGGCGCACCGAGGCCAGGCACCGGGGACGTCTCCGGTGCTGAAAGACGGGGTGTCCCCACCAGGACCCCCGCAGAGCGCGCGTCCAGCCCCTCGCAACTCCCCGCCCCCAGCCCGGTCCTTTGTCTGCAGCCGCCACTTCCAGGCTGCCGTGACACCTGCCCGCAGCCGCCAGCCCCGGGCACCCCCTGCACCCCCGGCTCCCGGTCCGGCAGCCGGTGCCGCTCAGCCCCGG